GGTTGTGCACCTGTTGTAATCTGCATGCTTAAAAGAGGGGACGGGGGCCCAACCCCGTTTTAAAATCCACTTCTGCGCATTTACATTTGCTCCACGTGTAGGCGTGCTGACAAAGACAGTGCTATTGTGTTTTGTCATGGAAGGTAGTGAAGAACGGTATATCGTAAATGGCACGCTATAAACAGCAGCCGTGATCGGAAATTTAGGAAATATGTCCACCCGGCGGGATCCCACTGGACCGACCGCATCGTCGCTCAGTCAGTATTGACAGCGAGCGATGGTTAGAGGGGTCCCGGCCGCCGCCGCTGCCGCCGCCGCTGCCGCCGCCGCCGCCGCCGCCGCCGTCGCCTGGCTCTGGCCCGTGGCGCTGGGTCCGCAGCGCAGTAGGACCGGCTGGCGTCTGTGGCAGCAGACCCTCTCACCACTCGCCAGGCATGAGCGATCCGATTCTGCACGCTGACCCAAACGAGCCCTCCGTGTTTATCTTACCTTGCCAGTACCAGCTGCCGACAGCGCCAATGAAGAGACGGTCGCCGTCCTGCCAAAGGAAAACACAGCTATCAGCTGCGACAAACGACTCGCAGCGCCCGCAGGGGACGTATCACTCGGCGCGCCTGGAGGGTGGCGAGCAGTAGGTCAGGCTCACACTGACCATGGACGGTAGGTCAGAGTGGTACTGGTCCTGGATAGTGCGCCAGGCTGATACTGATCCTGGACGGTAGGTCAGAGTGGTACTGGTCCTGGATAGTGCGCCGGGCTGATACTGATCCTGGACGGTAGGTCAGAGTGGTACTGGTCCTGGATAGTGCACCAGGCTGATACTGATCCTGGACGGTAGGTCAGAGTGGTTCTGGTCCTGGATAGTGCACCAGGCTGATACTGATCCTGGACGGTAGGTCAGAGTGGTTCTGGTCCTGGATAGTGCGCCAGGCTGATACTGATCCTGACGGTAGGTCAGAGTGGTTCTGGTCCTGGATAGTGCGCCAGGCTGATACTGATCCTGGACGGTAGGTCAGAGTGGTACTGATCCTGGATAGTGCGCCAGGCTGATACTGATCCTGGATGGTAGGTCAGAGTGGTACTGGTCCTGGATAGTGGGCCAGGCTGATACTGACCCTGCAGACAACTTCGGACCAAGTGGCGGTCTGATACCTTTATCATGTACCGGTACAATGCCGCCGTTAGTGCGTGAAGTTGAGCATTTGTGGTAGTAGTTATTGGCTGCACTTAACAGGACAATAAAGCTTTAACCTACGTGTCCACTTTACAAAGAACTATCGGCATCATCACGACCACCGAATTTCGTATCCTCGAGACAAGCAATGCCCCCATCCACCGAGAGATGTCACTGACCGGCGGCATTCTTGCCGCCACACTGAGCCGCCACCCACCCGATCTGATTTAGCGCCATTGGTCCGTCGGGTATCCCATCCCCATGCGGGGAGACGCGGCGTGAGCGGGGGCAGGGGTTTATGCCGCACGCAGGCTTCATCTCACAGAACCCGACCTTTCCGCCAGCAGCAGTTCCGTACCGCCCGCGGGGTTACAACAGTTTATCCGCCCATGATACGCAAGAACAAGACGCCCACAAATATTTTGTTTGACCCCCGATACCCCCGCACCACCACCACGGGCCAGCCTTAAAATTAGTCGTCCGCACGCACCATGGTCTGAGTAGGCGAACAACAAAGGCTCGCGAAACACGTGCCCCCAGAAGCAGTCGGCCGTTGGGGGAGGGGGCAGACGCGGGTACGGCCGGCGGCAGGCCGTCTCCGTAAAACGACGGTTCGAGTCATGATTCCGGTGTTTTCCGACTGTATCGTCGGCGGCGGCTGGCTGCCTTACTTAGCTAAAGGTTTGTTTGTTGTTACTTGCGTGCCGTTATAGTGGCCGGACTCTGTGATCGAACCCCATTGCTGTGCCTCTACCAATAACAAGTTAACTTACATACCTGACAGTCATAGGCAAAATAATCATTAGAACGAACCATTATATGGGGAAGAGAGCGTGACGCTAAACCTGGGGTGTGCTTGACTAGTAGAGCATTCCTAAATTACTACAAAGGGTTTCGGAGCCGCATCTATCCTATTGATGCGCTGCTGTGCTAGCGTCAAAAATTCACTTCTGCGAAGTGGACTTATCTAACGAGCGTTATCAGCTGCACTGTGTATCAGGATAGGCAGGCAGGAAATGACGCGTCTTACTGCCCGCATTGCAGCCGGCTACGAGCATGCGCAGTGTCGGTGATTCCTCCAAACCCCGTTAGTGCTAGCCAGGTCGCCGGTTCCGCCGGCCGGCCATACCATCTGTCATGAGCGTCACGTGACATGACCTGGGAGCGACGCCAGGTCAGCGGCGGGCGGCGGTGACGGATGGTCCGCGTGCGTCACCTCTGACGGATGACCGCATAGCGCGCAGTCATAGGTGTCGTTAGGCACCGCGCCTAACTGGCTCACACACGGCACGGAGGCGCCAATCATTCATCGCGGATTTACGAGATTTTCAAGAGCATAACCTGCCGAGAGTTTCATAACATTCAATCATCATTCTATGTGTATCATACGTTTATTTTTCAAGGCCTTTGGGCTGATTGACTTCGAGTCCAATCCACATTTACACGCCGCTTTTAAGACGTGCGACGGAAGTTACAGGTAGTTAGCGGCTAACAATCATGGGTCTTGTACCTAACAAACTGAATTTAAGGGAACTAGTCTCTAACAATCCCCATGTTTATACGATAAATTCGTCAACAGGTCAACGCTGATGAGGTAAATTTGGTCGCATCTTCCGTGATACGCTGATTAGCGAAGGTGTCTCTGCAGGGTCCAGTGAGTCACCACACCTCCCTGCCCAGGTCAGTCAGTTACAGACTGTTATGGCTGACAGGCACCTCAACTTCTCCGTTGTTCCCGCGGGGATGGGATATAGGTGCTAGACTCCTTACCAGGTGACGCTGGGCAAGAGTCTCAGAGCGAGCATTTTGTCTAGCCCGAATGGCATAGAAAGATCCGCATGCGACGGGCCATCAAAGGCCTACTCGGGCCCGTGACGATGCATCACACGCTCTCCTGTGCCGTCTGTCCAGGGGTGGGAAGCGAACCTGTCCGAAGAGCTGCGAGGCACAGCTTGGGTGTTAGGTTCAGGGCATTCGCCGTCGCGACACGCTCAGCTTAACAGTTCGCTGTCCCAAAAGCCCCGGTGGAAAAAAGGAAAAAAGATAAGACGAAACTAGGTGGAGGAAGTTCCTGAGTGCCACCATTGGCAGCCTACCATCAAACTATGAGGAAACTGGCGGGCATCTGATATGCATTGCATACCAGTGGAAAGGGAGACCGACATCGATCTACTTGCTTTCTTGCCACATCTAGTTGTCATCGAGTGGTTGCCAGAAAAGCAAAGAGGATCAGATCACTGTGCATTTACCTTGTTAATAGCAGATCCGAACCCAGCTTGGCAGAATCCTTGACGGTGGTAGCCCCAGCCGTCTGGTGGCAAACGTGCGGTTTAAAACGTGCATGTTCTCGTGCATAGACATTTCGTGAATCGCTTGCGCTACGCATTTAAGCTACAACACATTTGAAGCCATGAAACCATATCACAATTTTGCGAGAGCTGCTACACCACTAGTCACGTGATGAATGCCAGCTCAGTCGTTCGTCTTTGAGAACTGGGCCGTCATCAATCGGGCTGTTGAGAACTGAGACTTAACTTTGAATTAAGATTGTCGTTTCTCTATGACCCAAGTGATTCGAGGCGTGCGTCTTCCCCTGTCCTCAGGCAGTCATGGGTGGCGAGAGCCCTTTACACTCTTCTTTGAAAAGGATTGCATCTACGGTATTCTGAAAGCCAGTGATAGCTCGTGTTACGTGGCCACGAAATGGTAAATCCGGGGGCATGTATTCACACCCCCTCCCCCTCCCTTGGGCCGAAGGGGTACCAAAATCTTCAAAACCAAAAGCTCGGCATAAAAATAAAAGAAAGTTGACCTCCAGAAATGACGTGGACGAAGCCGGCGGATCACTTCGGCGAAGGATATTTTGACGATTAAAAAATAAGAATCTGGAAATGAAGTGTCCGAAATCCGGGGACTTCTTTGTGAGGGGTGGGGGGCACCAAGTTCCAGGGGGTACCATAATGAAGCGTGGCCCCTCCCTTCACGAAATCCTGGATTCGCCCCAGACCCATGGCCTTCATCGCATCACTTTAATTAGTCGTAGCTTGGACCCAATCAAAAACAAACATATTTTGATCGAGATTGTCGGACGGCATGTTAAGATTGCGACGTTTGGTTCACTTTTTTCTATAGGAGTCTGCACAGCGTCACGACGAAAAAATCACGCATTTACCTGTTCTGCAAGGAGAATACTCCTCGATCTTGGAGAATCCGTCTTTGGCCACGTAGCACGTGCCGACGGGCTCACGGCGCTCCTGGTTCCTGGAGAACCAGAGATAGCGGGGAGCGCACGCCTGCGAACAAGCAGCCCCGAGTCAGACAGCACGACAGTACAGCAAACAATCACATTGCGACTATATGGCGACCACACGTGACGGAAGGGTTGGTACCCGATCTACGTGATGTGCCCTGCGCCAAGTCATCCGACCCTGCTCGGTTGCGCTCCTGTCGAGGGAGAGCTACACGCGTAAGGAGCGCGGCTCGACCCTACCGGGGGCGCTTCTGTCGACGGACAGCTACACGCGTGGGGAGCGCGGTCTGAGGCGGCCCGACCCTGCTCGGTCGCGCTCCTGTCGAGGGAGAGTTAGTTACACATGTGAGGAGCGCGGTCTGAGGCGGCCCGACCCTGCTCGGTTGCGCTCCTGTCGAGGGAGAGCTACACATGTGAGGAGCGCGGTTTGAGGCGGCCCGACCCTGCTCGGACGCGCTCCTTTCGAAGGAGTGGCGGGACCGCGCTCAGACCGCGTTCCTACACAATGGCGGGACCGCGCTCAGACCGCGCTCCTGCACAGTGGCGGCCGCCATAGACCGCGCTCCTACACAGTGGCGGGACCGCGTTCAGACCGCGCTCCTATACAGTGGCGGGACCGCGTTCAGACCGCGCTCCTGTACAGTGGCGGCCGCCATAGACCGCGCTCCTGCACAGTGGCGGCCGCCATGGACCGCGCTCCTATACAGTGGCGGGACCGCGCTCAGACCGCGCTCCTGCACAGTGGCGGCCGCCATAGACTGCGCTCCTACACAGTGGCGGCCGCCATAGACCGCGCTCCTACACAGTGGCGGGACCGCGTTCAGACCGCGCTCCTGCACAGTGGCGGCCGCCATAGACTGCGCTCCTACACGGTGGCGGCCGCCATAGACCGCGCTCCTACACAGTGGCGGGACCGCGCTCAGACCGCGCTCCTGCACAGTGGCGGCCGCCATAGACCGCGCTCCTACACATGTGAGGGGCGCGGTCTGAGGCGGTCGGGTGACAGCACCGGAGTCGTGACGGTGATGGGAACCGACAGGACGCCCGGTGGACAAGTGGTCCGGATCGCCGTCCAGCTGGCTCCGGTCTGCCACCAGGCGGCGGGTGGCGCGCTGGGCGCCGCCGGCCGGTGCTGGCGTCCAGCCGTCCGCCGGTCGGCGCCTTTCATCCGACAGCGGGGAGCGGCGCCGGCCGCTGTGCCGCCCGGCCGGCCGGCGGGTAACATTACGGCCAGATGTCGCCGCGCCGACCGCCGCCGGACAGTGGCCTGTTGTCGGCCAACTTCGGGGCGCATAGTGGGAGGGACGGGTGAGGCAGCCTGGCGCGGTCCGACGCACCCAATGCGCAGCTTTGGTCTGGGTCAGGCCTGCTAGCGGGGTGGCCAGCAGCTGTCTTGGATGGCCAGTAGCTGTCTTGGTAGCAGCTGTAGTAACGCAGACTATACAGGCTATGCACAGTTGTAGCACAACGTTAAGAGAGCATAAGTGCTCTACAGTCCGTGCAAAGACACGGATCACGTAATGTGATACAAACCTCTCACGTTTGCATAATGTTTCAAGACGAGGAAAAATAAATCACAGGCAAGGCCAGTCCAGAAGTCACATTCAAAGCACTGGGAGATTAGCCACGCCTTATGTAGGGTATACAGTGTGTTTGTGATAAATGAACGCCGGCGTCAGCCGTGCGGGTGGTCCGCCGGATTAACGCGTGTGGAGTGACATTGATCACTAGCGAACATCACCAGTTCGATTGTGTGTATGGACGTACGCGAGTGACTACACACTCCGCACTCACAAACACGCTAGAATCCAGCACTATTATAATGTAATTGGACAAAATGATATCAGCACCTTCGGCTTGAGGAACGGGCGGCGTGAGTTGTTCAGTGAATTAGCGAGGGACATTATTCACATAGATAAGATGGTAGTGTTAGTTTTATTCCTCGGAGAATAACCAGGAGAATGGAGATATAGTTGGGTTGATATTACGGCAACATGTCTATACCGAGACAATAGCAGGAGTTAGAGCACTTCTGTCATTGTTTCGATAAAGCCATGTTGCCGAAATATTGACCCAACTATATCTCCATTCTCCTTTTTTTTCTCCGAGAAATAAGGTTAATATTACTGTCTTATCTATGTAAAAGACGGCGAGAATGCAAGTTCTGTACGCAAGCAGAGGCACCATGACCGGGTTTATGGATTGGTTGCGATCAAACATTTATATCTGAGAATCATCCATGTCCTACAAGAAGGATATACAAACGCCGATGACGCCGTCGATTTCACACCCACGAACTTATAGGCACAAACATGGCCGTGAAGGAGCAGTCATCGAGCTCGGAGGAGTCACACGCTCTACAGGTCATATTTCAGACTGCGTTGAAACACTCCACTGGTGAGTGATCTAGCCTGCTGGTTTGATCAAAGCTTGGTATGCACCGCACCAGCTTCCAGTCAACAACGACTCAATACGGGCCGCTCCTCACCGCCCGGCGCACCAAACCTAACCAGTCACCACTCCACACCGCACTAAAACCCCATGCTCCCAGGATGTTTACCCATGTAACCTCATCGGCAGTGTGCTGCGACTCTCCGGTTAGCATAGCTTGTCAGACACCGGCTGGTCCTGACTCAAGACGAAACGAGGGAACAGGCTGTGTCTGTCTGTCTGTCTGTCTGTCTGTCTGTCTGTCTGTCTGTCTGTCTGATCGACTGTCTGACTGTCTGACTGACTGTCTGTCTAGACAGACAGTCTGTCTGACTGATCGACTGTCTGACTGACTGTCTGACTGTCTGACTGTCTGACTGACTGACAGACTGACGGACTGACTGACTGACAGACTGACTGACTGACTGACTGACTGACTGACTGACAGACTGACTGACTGACTGACTGACTGACTGACTGACTGACTGACTGACTGACTGACTGACTGACTGACTGACTGACTGACTGACTGACTGACTGACTGACTGACTGACTGACTGACTGACTGACTGACTGACTGACTGACTGACTGACTGTCTGACTGTCTGTCTGCCTGTCTGACTGCCGTCATTGTGCAGCGGCGTGCCGTGGTGACCAGACCACCTCGGAAGCCGCACTTGTGGCAAACACAAAACACGGTGACGGTATGATGACGTTGGCAAGACTGTGGCTTCAAGGGTGTTTTTGGGTGGGACAGCCACGTCATTTCCGCTCTTGTGGAAGTGCGGTCCTGACTGATAGATGCTGTACTATCTGCGTGGTCATACCTTGGCACGTGGCACGGGGGCCCATGGGACCCAAGTCAGCTTGCGTCATGGTGTTCTGATGACACTTGTGCTATCGTTTAGCCGTGAAGGCAGTCAGGCGTGCAGGCGCGACATCTGTCGATGCTCTGTGACATCTTCATGCGTCAATCTAAACCAAACCCGACACCCAAACGCGGTCGGTCCTCGGCAGAGAAACGACCCAAACAGGACATAATCATAACTCGGGGACTTAGTTGAACTACGGTCAGCACGCAGCGAGTACATGTGTACCGATCCTGCATCGTCTCAAACGGGTTCATCGAGACGCCACAGCGTTGTGCAATGTACAAAGTAGGCCTGCAGCGTAGGGTTTCACCAATAGCGTCCTTTATCCTTGCATATAGCTCACTGTGGACGCCCTTATCAACCCGCTACTTCTATACAATTTGCATCATTTTTCCCGGGGCATGCAACACACAGTGATCAGCGCCGTCGATATCCTTCCAAAAACCCGCTATAGGGCTCATTAATTCATATTTTTTAACATTCACAAGTTTCTGTTACACAGAAAATCGAACTTAACAAGTTGCATCAACAGCATCAAGCCTGCTGATGCACATGTTCTCGGCGGCCATTTTTACATGACACATAAACGTAAGTTTTCGGAAGCACGCCGGCTGTTGAGGTCAGTCCGCAGGTGAGCGCATGAGGGGCGAGCTGTGAGGACTCACCACCACGACTCCTGTGTTGTTCACCCCCGGCGACGACGCCACCATAGCGCCGAACCACTGGCCCGACTTGTCGTCCATCGGCCGGCCGGACGCCACGTTGTTCCCTGCAACAACACGTGCAGATGCTGTGCCATAGCCTCCTTGGTGCCAGCACTGCCACTCAGGGACATAGTCAGAAAACAGCCAGAGGAGGTGCGTCATTTAGTGCAGTAAGCTAGATTACCATACCAGTTACGTAGCCGTATTGTATTTTACCCGTTAAGTTGCACTATCGCAAAAGGTGCATCTAGAATTCGCACCTTTTTAGCATTAGCGACGGCGAAAGAACAGATGAGCGCCCGGGCCACAGCGTGACCTGAGTTCAAATCCAGGCCCCACGTGGGAGCCAAAAACGCTCACCACTTGGCCGTCACGAGCCCACTGGTTCTCGATTTCATGGACAATATCGTCAAACCCCAAAGTTACAAATTTGTTTCTTTTCAGTAAAGCGGCATTTCTTTCCTGTGTACCTTCTTTGCGTCGGAGCCATCACTAAATTATATTACCCTTAGAGTTTTAAGTGATGACAGGTGAAACGCCCACGCAATCACGTCCGGTTGACATCTGCACGTGGTTTTGGGAAGTTCAATATTGTGATCGTTCTTACTTTTTTGTTGGATGAACCTGTTGAATACGAAGAGTTTAGGCTCTCAGAATACCGCGAATCAAAGCCAACTAGTGTAGTGCAAATATCGTCTGCTAATTTTATGCAGTGCACAAAACCCACTGCAGCGACTCCAAAATTGAAACGGCTGCACCGCAACACTATCCAGTTGCACCGCACTTCAATTTACCGCGTTGTGTTCAGCTACATCCGCTTCAGCTGTATTGTTTGTGGGGACACTGGAACAGCTCCAGACGGGAGGACAACGATTTCGTTGACTTCAATGGTCCAGTTAGTTTATACAAGAGCAATTGTGTAAATACACAACGGAAGAAACATACAAACGGAGAGTGGGCCTGGGCGCGGGGAGGTGAAGGCGGAAGGCACAAGGAAAAATGGCAGTAAAAGGCGGGTAGGATAGCATCATGGGATATAAGAAAATATATAAAGGAGATTTGAGGGGAGAGAAACTTAAAAGATTAAAAATGAGAGTAAGAGCGGGAGAGAAAAGAGAGAAGGAGAGAGAGAGAGAGAGGGGGGGGGGGGAGGGAGAGAGGACGGAGAGGGGAAGACACAGGGGGAGACAAGCGGCGGGAGGCGGTGTTAAGGCCACTATCCGCGCCGTCGAGACCAGCCGCCAGCGGGAGGGAGGCGGGGAGGCACCAGCGACCCTCCCCGGCCGGGCAGCGGGAGGGAGGCGGGGTGGCACCAGCGACCCTCCCCGGCCGGGCAGCGGGAGGGAGGCGGGGAGGCACCAGCGACCCTCCCCGGCCTGGCAGCGGGAGGGAGGCGGTGTGGCACCAGCGACCCTCCCCGGCCGGGCAGCGGGAGGGAGGCGGGGAGGCACCAGCGACCCTCCCCGGCCGGGCAGCGGGAGGGAGGCGGGGTGGCACCAGCGACCCTCCCCGGCCGGGCAGCGGGAGGGAGGCGGGGTGGCACCAGCGACCCTCCCCGGCCGGGCAGATCGGGAGGGAGGCGGGGGTGGCACCAGCGACCCTCCCCGGCCGGGCGGGCCGACGAGCGCGCCGCTAACCGCCGCTGTATTTCACCGGGACAGCCGGGCGGTCAGGCCGGCAGGATGGCCGGCCGATTATTTTAATGCTGACCCCGGTGGGAGGGCCGGCCTCGTCGCCTCTGACGGACGGCTGTTGTTCCGTCGCGGCCGGCGGCGGTGTTCCGGCGGCGCGGCCGCCACGTCCCGCCGGGCTCCAGTGGTACGTACGGCCGCCGGCCGCCGGCATGTCGCACCTCTGGTCCGGCAGACTGCCGCCGTCAGCCGAGGCGTGCCGAGGTGCCGGCCGCACGGTAACAATTTCAGCGGGCGCAAAAAGCCGGCGGAGGCCTGATTGCATGCTTACAGACGGGATTAACGGGCTGACATGGAGATATGGCGGAAGCAAAACACCATGTGCCACAGCAGCGCCGTTTTTGTTCGAGTTAACAAGGTAGCGCAGATTTGATCCAATGAAGACGTGGACTGACTGGCACGGAACAGGCCACGTAGCGGTTGCCGGCAAGCACAAAAGCCGCGGATGTAGGTTGAACCGCCCTTTGCTGAAGTAACGCGGGGTGTGGTCTATGAGTTGTGATGAGTGCATCACACTAGGACCGTTTGTTCACCGCCCGACCGTCGGGGCACATGTGGGTGGTGAGGCGTCCGAGAAAGCTTCGATCCTTCGATTTGGGCTTAGCTACGGTTTGAATCTTAATCGCATTGATACGCCATTAAAAAGCACAGACTGACTTTCACGAGTGTCTCAACCTAGCAGTCCGCTGTGCTGACAGAAACAAACATCCCAGTGAGAAGCCCCGCCGCGCATGGGCGCCTTCAGCTAACCACTTCAAGAGATCTTCCAGATGAGCCTCCTGAGCCCTTCCGCGGGAGACGCCGCCCGCTCATCCCAGCCGCCACCTCGCCAGCTCCGCGTCCTGTGCCGGCGCCGGCGCCGCACTGCCCGTGGCCGGCTGAGTGACGCGGCCGTAACGTCGGTCAGCGCCGGGTCACGCTGCCATCGCGGCGCTCCGATCTCGGCGCGGCGATCCCAGCGCGGTGATTTGGGCGCGGCGGTCGCTGTCGGCGCTCCCCGGATGCCAGAAACTGGGCCGACCGGCGAGCCGACCCCATACTGATCAGCGGCGGCCGGCGAGGCGAGCCGAAGCAGCTCGCCTCCGGACGCCGGCGGCTCAAGCGGCTGAGCGCCGGGCCGACGAACCGCCGCCGCCGCCGCCGCCGCCGCCGCCGCCGCCGAGTTACGCCGAGACAAACCGCCTCACTGGAGCCGCCATTGTGAGCACGTCAGGTGTGAGCGGTCGGCGTCCGTGGCACGTGGCTGGTGATTTATTCCGACGATGCGCGTGTGTCGTGCACGAGCTCGTGCGCGGCAGGGGTACTGGGCAATCTCGGCCTGTGTGACGCTTCGCGATGACTCGCGGAGAGCTTGCGTAGGCATGGGTGGCGGAGGTTGGAGCAATGTGGCCCACAGAGGTGGTCAGTCCCGAAGCTCGTGTCTCGCAGGTTGGCGTGCCTGAACGGTTTGGATGCCACGGAGCGGGTCTATGTCCCGGGGAATGCCGACGGCTCCTCAGAGTGTCTCGGTTCTCACGGACGACGCAGCCGCCATAAAGCGCGTCATCGCGTCCCAGTCGATGGCACGCCAGGCAGCGCCCCTCCCCGCTCGCCTCCCGTGGAGCGCGGCTTCACCCGGCCATCTGGCAGCGGTCGTGACGTGACGTCCGTCTCCACGGGTCCCAGAGGTCAGGACCGGACCGGAACGCCAGCCCGCCGGCAGCGGCGCTGGCCGGGGTCGCTGGCCGTCGGCGCGCCCCCGACAGACGTACCATCCGTCTGACCAGCTGTCTCGGACGCGGCTTAGTGGCGACAGCACATCGCGAGGATCTCTCGCGCGGCACGGGGCACGCGACCGGGAGCGGTTCCGCACTGCCGTCGGTCTGGTCTGATCTGATCTGATCTGATGTGATGTGATGTGATGTGATGTGATGTGATGTGATTTGATTTGATTTGATTTGATTTGATCTGATTTGATTTGACTTGATTTGATTTGATCTGATCTGATCTGATCTGATCTGATTTGATCTGCTTGGACCTGGTTTCATCCCTGCCGATCGGGCCCGGTCGCGTGACCTGTGCGACTCGGCGTACAATGTTTGCTTTCGGCGCACGTGACTGGGGCAACGTTGGTGCGGAGCCGACTCCGGCGCCAAACGGCGACCTCAGGTCATCGCCTCGGGGCCGGCTGTTTAGAGTGCCAGAGACCCTAGGTCACCGTCCCCGCGAGGTCACCAGCGTCGCGCCTGCCCCGAGGCTGGCGCTGTCGTCACTGGGACCGGCGTGACTGACTCATCCTGACCGGACAAACAGTGGGCACGCTCTTCCAGTGAAACAAACGCGACGTTTGTTCGGTCCTCCCCTGTTTCGTGCGATCCGACGTATGTTTGCATGTGTTCACGGCAATTGTGTGAAACCCCAAGTGGTGGACGGCGGACAAACAGAGCACCGATGACGGAGGTTTGTTGAGGATGTTGGCAGCCGTGAGCTGAATAACGGATAAGTGCGCCACATGCAACGGGAACGACGTGCTCGCCAGGCAAAGTGCTGCCAGTCAGACAAAGTGATGAACTGGAAGGACGCACCCCAGGACCAGGGCAACGAATTATGGACGCGCGACCCGACGATCCAGTAAAGGTAGCACTGCAAACAGCATGTGAATTCCTTGCAGTATATCAAACTGTATCTGATCATCCCTGCATGAACATGCTGTATGTGCTACAGTGCATGCACATATGGCAGCGCTCGCTCCACACGTAAGAGCAGCCTCCGTTCGTGCATTCGTTTGAGCTTGTTCGAGCGGCCTCTTGTGTGCGCTCGGACCTGACCCGTTCCGATGACTCTGCTCCCCGTGCCCGACATGTGACGGACCGGCCTGGCGCGGCGCCGGGCGCCAGTAATGTACCGCCGGCTGCCGGCGATTGATCCACGTCGGCAGCCTCCGCCGCTCGGCTCGTTCCCTTTCTTTCCTACTCAGTCCGGCCCATTGTATTATAATACGGGCGGGCTGTGAGCTGGGCACCGCGATCGCGACTCCCGCTGCTATACCGCCGGCGCGTCCGATGGTAGCGGCCCGGCCCTTGACCCCGTGGACGGAGCTTCTGCTCGGTGGCTCCGCTGCCCCCCGCCCCCCACCCCCGCCCCCTCCCTCGCTGCCACATATCTGCAGCTGCAGACATCACATGGCCGTGAATGCGGCGTTATGTTGTTCGACGTTATCGACCGCGATGATGACAAGTTATCGGCATCGATGATAGGGCTGCTCCTTCTGAAAGCGTGCACTCACTCGTGCTGCAACCACCCGAGTATTCAGTCACCGATACGCGGTCTCACCTTGGCCGTTCTGTACGTGCGTGACGCAAAGTCCGGACCTAACACTGTTGTACACACTGGTTCGTTGTTTTTTCAAACTGATCCGGCGACAGGTATTTGTGAGCAGATGACACTAATATCTGTCTCGCACCGCTGGAAAGAAAATAATGTTTTTTTTTTCTAAGCCAGCGTTGTGATATGCTGACTCTTGCTCGGCTGCTGATGCAGGTCGCTTGGCGATTTAAGCCTAATGAGAAGCAATGGAAAATATCTAATATCGCATCAACAACGCGCACGTTATCTTGACGCCAGCTGACATTAAGCCAGTGTTAGCCCAGCTTGCATGGGTACGCCGTGACATCAGTTGCCTGACGTAACAGCATGGGCGTCCACATGACTTGGCTGTTGGCTTGACTGCCGCGTCGCCCGACCACTTCCGGTGCGGTCGCGCCAGGTTGCGGCGACGGCGCGAGCGCCGCAGCCCTGACAGCCGGCGTATGTACCGCAGGTGGGCACGAGCTGCGGCGCCGGGTCACCGGGTCACCGCCGACCCAAAACACGGCACGGCGGGGAGCGGCGGCATCAAGCCGTCGGCCCAGCGCCGGCTCCGAACGGCCGGCGGGCGCCCGTCCGAGGCGGACCCACGGCGACGGCTGGCCGCGGCTCCGGCAGCGGCGTGCTTCCCCGGAGAGAACTGGCTGTGGCGTTCCGCTCGCGCCGACACCGACCGGCTGAAGGCTCAGTGAGGTGCCGATAAGGCCGCGGAGTGGTGCGCGGCGCGTGCCGCCCGTGCAGCGGCCGGCCCGGCCCGGCCGTCGGCGGGGCATTGGACGGCCGAACTCGGCCGGCTCGGCCTGGCCCGGCCCGGCCGTCGGCGGGGCATCGGACGGCCGCGCTCGGAGACCGATCCCGGAAGCCGCCGCTGCGTGCCGAGCGTATGCACTCGTAAATATCCGGCCACCACGTATAACAATCGGCGGAGCGGAGCCGGTGCATAATCCGCCCGACTCCATGGGAGTCTGAGGCTGAGTTGTGATTAAGTGTCTGAGTGCACACGACAGCCAACACACGAACCAAGCGCTGTGACCTGCTTCCCCATCCGCTGCCCCGCGCGTAACCGATGGGCGTGGATGCCGGGCCGGCGCTATGTCCTCGTGGGACACCGGTATTCTGGGCACGAACCCAAGACGCGGCGTGTTTTTCGATTCCGTATGCAGATGAGGATTTAGCGTCAAGAATGTCGCCCCGTGCCCGATGGAGGCCGGATTTTGCGTGTAGGCCGGTCTGGTGCATCGGAGATCATCCCGCCGACTCGACCACATCCGGTATTCAAGTAGTGTATATGTTACGGTACCCTGTTACGCTGCTGACGCCCGTGAACTATAACAGAGATGCCACTGCTGTACGCGCCTGGAGCGTGTACAACATGGTGGACGCGGACGGAGTGCGTCTGAGTGGAGGGCAGCTACATTTCATCCCCTTGCCGCCCGGAAACGATAAAACACCGTCTCCACCGCATCGCACAGAATGAAGAGGCACAAAGCTTTTCCCAATCTACCGCAACTGTTCCCAACCTGACGTACGCGTCAGGTTGGGAACAGTTGCGGTCAGTTGACGTACGCGTCGTCAGGTTCCATAAGGCTCTCCTCGTGCCGTACCAGCAGCGGGACCGGGCCCCAGGAGCTGCCCTTGTCGCTGGCGGCCATCGCTGGACGCTGGTCGGCCCGGTAGGCCGGGGCGCAGAGCTGTTTATTTATATCGCGCGGGTCCGAGCCGGCGGGGATCCGGGCGCTGGAGCCCTATCAGGGGACGCTGGTGCACCGATGGGCCTCACCACGGTGTCATCAGTTCAACAGCGCAGTAGATACGACTGCCGCGCGCCCGTGGGTTGCGACGAATTCTATTCCTGCCGCTTCTTGCTGAATTCAGAACCGATGAGATGGGATGATGTACAAAACAGCGCCGGTGGCGGCTCAGTAACATTCAAGCTGACGGCTGAGATCACCTTCGAAGTGAGACTAATGGGCAAGCAATTGCCGGCGCGCGTTATCGGCCAGCGGGGGCGGCGGCCACCGGCACACGAGCCTCAGTCCTCGCGGCAGGGACAGCCGCTCACCTTTCACGTCGAAAGGAATCTGCTGGCAGTTTCGGAGTCGCGAGGCGTCGCTGGACGGCGGCTCGGCGCTGCACTTGTAGACGGCTCCTCCCCTGACCACGCCCGGCTGGGTCGTGGCGGCTTGGGGCGCCCCCACCAGCACCCTGCGCACGCAGAGCGGGGCGACGGTCAGCACCTGCCTGGCAATGAACGCCACGCCTGGAGCTCCGCAGGGCCCAGTACAGGGAGAGAGGGGAGAAGGAGACGCCGGGAAGAGGGAGTAGAAAAGACGGGCATGCATACGGACAGACGGAAGCGGAAGTCTCTGTAAGTGTATACGAGGAGCGTCTGCCAGTCGATAAGTCGCCCGCCCCCCCCCCCCCCCGACCGCTCACCCCCCCCCCCCACACACACACTCACTCACTCACTCACTCACTCACTCACTCACTCACTCACTCACTCACTCACTCTCTCTCCTTCCTCCCTTTCTCTCTCTCTCTCTTTTTTCTCTCTCTCTCCCATGCACGGAGAGTGAGGGACCACGACCAAACATCACTCTTGCTTCTCTTTCGCATCTGGTGTTAACGAAGCCGATCCCTAAGTCCAGGACCGGTGGCAGGGTTCAGATACTAGCATGCCTGACCCGATGCTCCCAGAATACCCCACAAACTAGAGGAGATTCAGCGCTTAATATTGTATCGTACCAGAGCTGTGCCTCTAATTCCAGCATTGCTATTTTAACGGCGCACATTCAGGGCTCACCCGCTAGAAGTTCGCGCCACCCCCAACCCCTACCCCAAAAACAACAGGACACGGCACCTAGCAAGAGTGGTCCCACTTTCCCGTCTGACATCACTGTCGACGTTGAGATCAGCGTCGACTACGTCATGCTGCGTTCCTTCTTCACTGCGCGAGCCCGCGTCCTGAGGTAGTGAGGTGCGCCACATCTGCCCTTACTGCCTACCTATCGCTGGTTTCGAGGTTTGGTCAGTTCTGACGCGCTGGGTTGATGACCCATTTCACTTCCGTTTATCCCATTTGGCCTTTTTGTACGTATTTTCACACAACATTGCCAGAGGAAGGGTCGCAAAGCTGAGTTTTGTATGAAGTGTAAACGTCCATCTAACCTGATAAACACATGCCGCCCTGGGGGTCCCATCAAAGGCCATCATTCTCTTCACGGCATCACACTGATGATTGATCCATGAGTTGAGCTCAAACAAGAGCCAACTGGCTTCTGCGCCTCCCTCCAGGAGAGCCCAGATCTAGCGCCCAGAAATGTCAGCAGTTCACCACACCGCTTGATCCCGGACGAACGCACCGCCTCTGATTCGTTCGGATCGCAGCAACGCACGCACCGCACTACACTCCGCTAGGATCATATCTCCGCCGTCTGTGGTCCCCCACCGACACGTCAGACAGCGTGCTGCCAACGCGTGTCGGACAGCAACATGCGCGTGGTCCCGCCAGCGGTCTGTGGTCCCACCGACTCGTGTGGAACATCAGACAACGTGCTACCAGCACGTGTCTTGGACAACAACAACAACACGAGTGGTCCCGCCGGCGGCTGGTCCGCGGCCGGCGGCCATTCATTCGACAGCCTGGTAGCGCGTCTCAATTACCAGATAGCTGATCAGGGAAGACCTCCCTGCTCGAGTGGGTCCCGACCGCCAAACCGCCATCTGATTGGGCCGGGCTATTTACACCGGTGAGACGGCCCGAGAGAGGGGAGGGAGGGAGAGAGAGGGAGAGAGAGAAGGAGAGAGGGGGAAAGGGAGAGGGAGGGAGAGAGAGCGGGAGAGAGGGAGAGAGAAGGAGAGGGCGAGAGAGAGAGAGAGGGAGAGAGAGAGAGAGGGGAGAGAGAGAAGGAAAGAAACAAGAAGGGGAAAAGGAGACAGTTAGGGTCAAACGAAAAAAGGGAAGACGAAGGGAGTAGAAACAAAATAACGAAAAGAACGAGATGGGGCTGGAGAGAGGAGAAAGAATGGAGAAAATCGTTGGTACGCGGCGACCGACCATGTCCGGACACCCCTCTCCAGCAACGGTGCCGTACCATTATCTGTTTCGAATTTCCTGGTGGGACCGCCGGAAGATGCGGATGCGGGGGCGTGACGTCCGGCGACCGGCCGCCGCACTGCGCCGCCCAAGGGCCGCCACCGCGCCAGCGGCGGTGCAGCCAACGCGCCTGACGCCTCTCGATCAGAGCCCGACCAGGCTCGCAGATACATTGGTCACAACAGCGACAGATATTCTGATATTCTGATCCGCTGTCCATTTAATGTAATATGTTGTCCCCCACCGGCAAAGCGCAGTCCAACGCATCGATATGACAACACTGCATGACAAGAGCGGTCCATATCAGGGGCTCACAATCATTCACCCCTTCCCCGTCCTCAATTTCTCCGGCAAGGAACAAAGCCGAGTCAGTGCCGATGGCCCGCAAAAAGGCGGGCGCACTATGAATCACAGCCCTCTGCGAGCTACAAAGGGGAGACGATGGCACGCCTCCAGGTCTGCTTTTTCCGCCGGCGCGTGCCTCTGATCCGCGGCGTTCAATCCGTGTTCAGACTGGGCGGATCCTGCGGTTGCGGAAGGCCGGCTCGAGTGCGGCGGCTTGGCGGTGTTCCAGCCGCCGAACCGTCCCTCCAGTGTAAACAAGCAGGTCGTGTCAACTGCGGTCACCGGGACCGACGGCCCATGTTTCGCGTGCGGTGTAACGCCGCCGTCAGAGAACACGCGTCGTGACTAAGCGCTTGCCCCTGCCCTTCCGTTAATTAAACCGTTGCACAGACCTTACGATCCGTTTGAAAATACGCTTGCAGCTCCTCCCCCACAACGTGGGTGTTGTTTGGAAAAGACAGCTACCTAGGGCAACGCAATCCATTAAAATGACAGGAAATTAGCGCAGCCACTCGACTCCTCGCAACTTAGTTAGGGGTATGGTAATGGCCCTTACTAACGGAACTCTATGAAAATGGTATGTTCAGATTTGTTTCTAACACTGGGCCCAGTCAAGTTTAATGTTTCGATTCATTTCAGGCCCCAAGAGCTTCAGCTCAGTTTCGAGAGTCTTCTACCTTATAAGAATGCTGCAAAATGCATCCAAGTTTCCAGACCTTGAAATAAAAGAAAAAAGTAAAGTAAAATAAAAAAGTAAAGCGACTTCTTCCAGTGTTTGCCACAAGCCACACAAACATTTCCTCCTACAGCGGCGTTCCAGTCATACATAGGAAAATTGCATCTTGCATACACACTCAAGATGCATTATTTTCCAGACATCTAAAAACCGGTAGCGTTTCCATCTCATCCTAGGAAGAATATCGCCAAGATCCTCTCGCAAGTATGGACCGATGGCAAGACGAGCATTTCCAGCTGTGGAAAAAAGAGCCGCGGCCGCAGACATGAGTAAAGCATCACCATCTGCGGTAGAAACCCTTATATGATCTCCATAGAAACATATCATTGGAATAGTACCTAAACAGCAGTAAGCCGATGAAATTGCATAGTACGATGAAAGCCTTGCAAAAAGCGGCATTAGCTGTCAAGGAATGTCAGCTCTAGGTATGTGTCTCTCGTTAACATATATTTCCAGTGTTCTTTCATCGCATTTTACTTGCGATAGTGTGGTGACTCAAGAAAGGAAGAACGTGGAAGGGAGGAAGAAGTACATTTCAGGCAACACTTTAAGCTTTGCTGATTGTTTTATCGGTAACTAGTATCGACGTAAAGAAGGGCAGACGCGAACAAAACTTGTAAAATGTCCAACACTTTCTCTGACGTGATGTATGCTACCCCAAAAACATCAAGTTTTCAGAAACACCAACCTGCCGCTGTCGTCGATTGCAGCATTTGTAACTTGCTGGGCCTGGCGTTACGTATGCAGAGCTGGATACACCCTTGTGCTCTTCCCATACGCTGCCGCGCGTGTAGAGCACAACGCCAGCGGTAGCGTATAGATGATGAACATCACCGTCTCAGCTACGCGTGAATAACGGCGGTAAGAGAGAACTTCATCCCATCGCAGACAGTGAAAGTGCTATTTATAGCAGCAGTGGAGTCGGAACGTATCACGATGAGCGCGCTGAATACTAATCACGTTCGCGCTGTGCGTTTACGAGTTACGCGTTACGTGAGGTGAGGTCCTGCCGCCCTTTTCATCGGGATGTATACATCATACCGAAGAATGTTTGCTCAATAACCCGGCTGGCACTGCATGATAAATATCCGAAGACGCATAACTGACTGCTAGACACCCTGCTTCGTTGCGCTTTAAGATGGATGCGGGTACGTGAACTGACGGGCAATGCTCGCACCTCAGGTGCAGATAAATGTCCCCAGCATGTGCTTATCGTACCTTCAGCCTCCTTGGACAAACACATGAACAATGAAGAGAATGTGAGCTGCATCGCATGCTTCGGGATGGGCGCATTCCAAACTGCCACGCCCAGGCGACAAGCGGGACGAAGAGGGTACCAGTTGAAGTGACATTTGCCTTCCTGCTGATAATGTCAAATGCCAGGATTCACACAATACGTGGATGGCATGGGAGCTTTACGAAGCACTCAGCTGCGGAGGCTGTGTGCAGTCACCTGCCTCTCACTCTGGCAGGACGGGCGGGCACCGCGTGAAGTCGAAGCCGGCACCTTCTGGTAACCCGGACGCCCAGAAAAAGTTAAAATGGTAAAGCTGGCAGTAGCGGGTAACGCTGTTTGACTCATATCATGAGAAATTACTAGTTCTTCTTTGTAACAATCAGCAGGAGTGGACAGTGCTAAACAGAGTGATTACTTTCATAGAGGTGTTAAAATGTGCGTATTTAGAAGAAATTCGGTGCGGCCACCGTATCGCGTTCTCCATCTATGATAGCTATTTGACTGGGCAACTGAAAGACCATCACTGAACCCTGATGTAATGAACACCGAAACGTTAGAACCGACGCCCATACTTATAAACTCAACGCTGATACTTATAGTTAGTTTAAATCAAACAACACCTACGCTCACACAGAAATGCCAATGTCAAACATTTCAGGTGGCTGTGGGCCATCTATCCCCGTGTCCCCTTCACCCCTGCTAACCGAGTCCCCCCTCGACCGCCTCAGATGAGGACGGACAACGTCAAGTGTTCGACAGATGGCGGCTTCCGGTCGCCCCCTTCCGTCTCC